CTTTCATAATAAATTTATTCTAAAATATTATGGACATTGATCATTTAATCAAAGTACATTATAGCACACGTTCTGGAAACTTTTATATACCGTAGTATCAAAGTGTACTAGAAGTTACATTTCATACGATAATATACTTAATACTAGGCAGAATATGTCATAGGTCTATTATGTATTCATATATTTAGATTTTACTTAATATTCTTGATATCAAAGTGACTTTTGATTGAATATAAGCCCTCATTGACGCATAAACGGGTTTTAAATTGCAATTATTTAATGATCAATAAAATCCTTATTTAATACCTGGATTAATATAAATACACGATTGTAAATATTTAGTTTATACAAACTCATTGTATCCTTGATTGATTTGTATTTATTTATAACTAAAGCACTTGATGTGTGTACTTTTGATACTAAATATAAGTATTCTTATAATATTAGCTACAAACTGATCATTTCTCTAATGGTTATGACTTATAAGTAAATATCTTAATTGAATTTATTCAACAAGTACATTTAATGAAGTATCAGGGTCAGAAAGTTATCATTGAAAGTATTATTACCGGTATATTATTGTAGAACATACAATTGAGGGAGGGTGGTTCATGCTTTATTTGAATTAAAATTTGTAATAAATAGTTTTTATTTTATAAACATTTTTAAAAAGTCCATTTAGTAAATGGTACACACTCTATAAGTTATTATATGATTTAAAATAATATAATATTCAAGAATTTAAGATTTTGATAAATAGTTGGAATATTTATGTATAAATTCAATGGTTTAGGTCCAACTAATCGATAATCAGTGATTATTAATCGCTAATGTATGATGTAAATACGTTTTCATACCAAGCTATTTATAAAGAGACTGCACTGTAAAAGGTTTTGTCATAATAGTGTGACATTGAGCTTATTTTTAGAAAATATTAAGCATTTTTCTATTAATAAATCGATTTTCTATTACGTTAATGGTAGAATAATAAATCTGCATGGTCATATTGAATAGGATTTAAGTGATTATAATAAAGAGTTCAGAAGGTTTTATAAAGTATTTAAGGCTTATAGAATATACTGATATATTAATAGTAATACTTTTATCAAATAATGTTCAATATCAAATAAAAACATATAAAAATCACATTAAAATCATATAGAATTAATATATCATATAATATGTTTATTGATAAGTAAACCTAAAGCACCTATATCATAGCTTCTATGACATAGAAAGTAACACAAAATATTTTAAAATACAGTATTAATGTAAAGTTAATAAAACTAATTCAATTTTAAATACTATAAATTATAAAATCCAATATTTTATATAATAAATTAATTTGTAAGAGTTTTATTTGAGTATTAAATAGTTGTAAAATAATACAGTTTACTCAATGCATTTTCAATCCCTTACAGATTTAATACCTTGCTTCTATTTCTATAGTTTCTATTTCATAGAATTTTTCAATAAAAATCTAAGATATTCTCAATAAAAAAATTAAACATATAATAAATAATACAATTATAGATAGTTTTTAAAAATTGTTTCTATAATTAAAATTATGTATAAATTATATAATAAATAAAAAAAATTACTCACAAAATTAATTATTAAAAACAAGCGGTTATTATAACTTGATTATATAATAAGAGCCTATATTAATATTGAAACTCTTATTATATGTTTATAAAGTTGACACATCGTATAGAATAATAGAAACACATAATTATTTAAATAGCATCCGCAATATATACCACTGTATAAAATCATATCAGATTTGGCATTGAACTGGCTCACTTTGGTATTCTTACGTCCTTATAATCATAAATTGTACACAGTATAAAATGTACTAAAATATATTCAGGTCTAATTAACCCCGAACTCAGGGAGCACGCTGATAATGGCACTTCACTGGGTATTTAGGAACGCCTATTAATTGTGTATTAAAAGCACTTCCACAAAATAATATTTAAATTAAAGTATCTATAATCAGTGATTTACCTTATACTTACATAAGCTTATACAAGCACTTTGCTATTGAAAAAAAGGTAATTTTCAATTTTCAAAAATATAAACGCATTTTTAATATTATTTATTAGACTAATAATCAATTCAATTGACAAATTATTAATTTTTTAGAAATAAGTTACGTGGCTGTTATGTATATTACTAGTATTCACAGGTATGTGGACTTTAGTTTAAAACCCACAAAACAAATAATAATTTTATTGTACAGTTACTCATACTTGCCTGATGTCTGTAACTAAAAAACAATTAATTAATAAAATAATTGCTTCCAATTGTCNGGACTTTAGTTTAAAACCCACAAAACAAATAATAATTTTATTGTACAGTTACTCATACTTGCCTGATGTCTGTAACTAAAAAACAATTAATTAATAAAATAATTGCTTCCAATTGTCAGTCGGTTTTTGATGAAACTTTCAATTAATTTCACTCAAATACAGTTCAATTCACTGCATATGAGATAAAGATTAGGTTTGGCACCGAATTTTGTGAATTGCTTACCTGATCATCGATTCTCAACAGTTGAATACAATAATTGTTTTATAATTATAAATATTTTGTGTGAGAATATTATATAATGTTTAACACCGTTTTTATCTATAATCTACAAATATTTGTATTACAATAAATACTTTGATAATCAATTAATCAATATTTATTTTTAGCTAGTTCTTTCACATATGCTTTATTTCCAAGTATTTGTGCAATATAAATGACATGCAAACAAATAAATAAAAATGAAATTGTTTATGATGAAAAATTGAAATGAAAAATTGAAATGAAAAATTGAAATGCAAATGAAATATTGAAATATTTATTTAAATATATATCAAATGTTTTATTATTAAAAACAGATTACATAACAAAGTCTGCGATAAATAAGACAAACAATGAGCGTAAGGATAATGAAGAACGTACTGATAGCCCAGCCCACGATGAAAAGCATCCAAAACACCTGCCGGTGCTTTGAACACCACTTCCCACACAAGTTGTCGCTCTCGTCTTCAGCCGCCACACAATTACTGATGTTATCACAAATGAGACTCTTTTGGACACACCGTTTGTCACCGCAATTGAACCAATCGTTGTGATCGTCGCATCCGTTGCTGCTATCGGTGAACATGAATGCCGTGAAAATGAGTTCAAAGTTTTTTCCAAACGTTGCGTTTTTGGACGAAGAGGTGATAAATGTGAGTAAAACCTCATTCCTGTCACTCGAGTACACGGTTTCGTCGTAGTCTTCGCCGGTAAAGGATTTCACAGAATTTCGGTCCAAACTTATGATGAGTTCGTCTTTTGGCGTAAAGTTTGTCACTCTTTTGTTTGAGTGATTTTCTGGACTCAGGTTTGTCCTCAGATTTATCTGAAAGGATTTTATATCATTTCAATTATATTTAATGTTTAAATATAACCAAAATTATTATGATAGATAATTGTGACCAAAAAAGTAATAATTAAATTTCATTTAAAAATTACTATAGAGTAAATGAATACAGTACAATATTTTAATTGTTAAAATTAATATTAATTTATCTTAATTTATTTACTCTTTTAAAATTAGAATTCTAACTCTATAAATAATTATATATGTATAAATATTATTAATGCCATTAACTCTATAAATATTAAATATTCATTATATAAAAATAATAGTTAATTTAGTTTCTTAAATTAATGAATTACTAATATCTATAACATAAAAATTATTGATAAATTAAAATTACCATTCGTTTAATAACATTAATGCCATAATTTGGCGGCACTTTCACCAAAAGACTACATCTAAGGGAAGGTCTGTAAGCACCGGACGACTGGACGGCACTAACAATGATCGCTGACTTATACGAGTGTTGACCAAAGGTTATGAGTGTTGTATTGCGACGACAAAGAATAGGGTCATCCAGATAGTAATTCTCATAATTAGCCAGCAAATATTTTAATTGGATTAAAATTAATATAAATATTTTTTGGAGAAACATTTATCACTAAAATTTTTCACTACAAAATTAAAATATAAAACTTTAATTTATAAATTTTATTGTTCATAACAAAATGAATGATAAGATATTTAATAACACAGAATATTCTGTGTGATAGTGTACTGTACTGTATAATGGTTTCATTATGCATAATATTGTTCATAATTTTCTGCTTTAGTGCACATTCACTGTCATGAGTATAACTGGTGCTCTAATTTCATTACAATAACTAATTAATGCATATTTTTGTTAAATATATTCAACATTAAAATGCAATGACTGTAATATAATGAGAAAGAGTTAGTATTATTGTTATATGAGATTTTAGTAGATAATGATTGAATATTTCAATTTGAAATGAGAATTCATTGGTGAGGAATCTTACCTTTTCTGAAAGATTCATTAATTGAGAATAATTTAAAATAAATTTTTAATTTAAGAATTTAACTATTTATTAACATTAATTAATTTAATACAAGTTCAGAATAGAATAAGATAATATTTGCTATAATAAAACTTTTCAAAACATAATTATGTACATAAACATTTAATTAAATTATTGTAATACTGTATTACAACAAAACTAAATTACATTTTAATATCAAATTAGAATTAATAATAATAACGCTATATTCAAGAAAAACATTTATTGAAAAATAAAACTTATTTTATGAAGCATAAAAAATCACAACTATAAAGTTACTAGAATTTCTTAAATTTATTTTGTTAGAAAACTGCTTGAATTCATTAGCATTTATACTGTAGACTCGGTTGTCGTGAAGTTCAATTACTTTTTCAGTTTTGGATTGTCTTTTTTGTCATCGGTTTTAATGGACAACAGATCTGTTTCCACATTAACACTGCTATCAGACGGAGGGGCCCTTACTTTTGGCTTAGGTCTGGGTTTAGCGGACGACTCGGACTCAACGGGTGGTTTGTCCGGTGGCTTATCAGGAGCCGGCGCACCGGCAGTGTTGGTGTTATTGGGGACGGGATCTAAAGGCTGATCGGGCGATGCGATAGTGATGACACCGGGCACTTGTGATGAGGTCGGAGTCGATTTCTTTGGTAATTCCAGTTTTGGTGTCTTATCTGCAAATGTGATCGTTTGACAATTAATTACTAGAAACTAGTCGACTGAATATCACCTGATTTTGTTGTGTAGTTATTGTGGCCCTCAATAGGCGAGTCCTTCAAATATGCGGTGAGAGCCCTGTATTACATTAATTAACATTATTTTAATTGCAATTATGCCTTACATTTGAGAATCAGTTACAAACCAACAAAACCCAAGCGATATAACAATAATGAGTTCAACAACAAGTAGTATAGCGATCAAAATGGGCAACTTTTTTTGTTCGGGTGGTTTTATCTCATCATTATTTGGTGCTATTGTCNGAGAGCCCTGTATTACATTAGTTAACATTATGTTAATTGTAATTATGCCTTACATTTGAGAATAAGTTACAAACCAACAAAACCCAAGCGATATAACAATAATGAGTTCAACAACAAGTAGTATAGCGATCAAAATGGGCAACTTTTTTTGTTCGGGTGGTTTTATCTCATCATTATTTGGTGCTATTGTCGTATCATTTGCTACGTTTGGCATCTTATAGTTTTTAATTTTGTCAATTGAGTTAATATTGATCGGACCTCCAGAAGATTTTGTAGAATCACCAGTGTCGTTTGCATTATCTCCCGATTGATATGATTTAGTATCAATAATAACTACCAAAATGTTGGATATGACTATTAGTCGACAAAAGTTAGCAAATAATATTTTCATTTCTAAAACAGATTTAATCAAATCTATCGTAAATTTTTGCTACAAATTCGAGTTTAATTTTATTGATTTACAACTGACTATCAAAATAAATAACAGTAACAGTTAATGTTTGCTAATTAATGCTACTGTATTACAGCTTATAATATTAGTATTTTAAGTTTTTATTTACAGTAATTTAATTCAAAGCGAGCGTTAATTCTATGTGAATTGAATTGAGTTTAAGATCTTTACAAAAAGTGGATTCAATGCAGAGTACAATATAGAGGAAACCCGTTAAGAATATTCAATAATACTGTATCTTAGAAATCAATGTTTAAAATTTAAATTTAAATTTACTAAATAGTGTTGAATACAAGTGATTAGATACGAGACAACAATACTGTACTTTGAAATGAGTTGAAGTATCGCTCAGACATACAATATATAAGCATTTAATTGATTTATAATTTAAAAATCAGTTAAAAATCGTTGAAGTGTTGGACAACTGTATCGACATATTTGCAGACATTTATAGCCAGCGATGGCAGAAGACAAAGACAAAGTCTCAAAAGCGGACTCAACGGACTCGAAGGACTCAATTGACAGTAAGTCCGGAGCAGTTAAACCACTGAAACCGGGAAAAGTAGGGCTAAAGGGGACCGAAAATGTGTTCAAATCAGACGGCAATTCCTCGGACGCCAAGAAGACAGACAGCGATTCCGGTAAAGACTCCAAGGAATCAAAGGGTGACTCAAAAGGTGGTAAATCTTCGGCCAAGAAGACGGACAGCAATTCATCCGTGAAGGACACCGACGCCGACGCCAAAGACACGGACTCGTCGTCCAAGAAGTCGTCGACCAACGGCTTCTGGAAGAGCTCCAAAAGACAGAGGACTGACTCCGACT